AACGCAGCCTTGGCGGAGACCAGTGCGAACGCTGAATGGTTTCGACTTAACGCCATTAACTCTGACACAGACTGAAAACTATAAATTATGAAAAATAAATATGAAATAATAATAAATATAATATATAATAAATATTTATATGGTATGAATATATGTCTGTATCGATCGAACCTAAGTATTATGGGTTTGCCAGCAAACTGCTAGTCTTTCAATACCGTATAAAAGAATAAGTCTTTTATAACTTCTACGAATCTATTGCAAGTCTCAACTCGTGGTCACATCTCCAAAATTGTGATTAGGCAAGAGTGAAGGACATCTTCGTCTAGAGCAGATAGGAGAAACTGTGGTAGACTGAACGCGTAGCTCTGTTCACTGACGGGAGATGGTCGCGATAATCGTTGACTGGTATCTTTGTGGTTAACGTCCACGGCGACTGTGGGAAGATTATATTGGGAGCCGGGAAAACCACTCTTGGAGGGGAAGGCTCGGAACTTGGAGGAATGACGAGTATTTTGCGATAGACGCGATTCGTTCCCGATTATCATAGGGATCAGCCATGAAGTTGATTAATGCAGCCGTTGAGTATTTCAGTAGTTCAGCAGTTGAACAGTCGAATAGTTAAGTAAGTAGTCGAGTAGGTCAGTAGTTCCGTAGTTCAGTACTTCAGTTGTTGAATATTACCTCGATAGTGGAGTAGTTGAGTAGTTAACTGGTTAATCACTGTTCTGGATTCGCACGGCGTAGTCGCACAGCTCCTTACTTCTACTAGCTAGTGATCCGTTTGAACAGGACATGTAACGATTGTGGACGGGCGCGAAACAGCATATTTTGTTTTGGATCGAACCGAGCAATGTTCGAATATTAACCTGTTATCAACAACAATTTACCTATCCTTGTCACGTAAAGTTAAATGTACGAATCAGTTACAGCAGTTCCGAAACTCATCATTAAGAGATTGGTTATGTAGAGCGTATGAAAACATTTTATTATAATCAGGTTGCTATACTAACAGCATCTCAGGGTTCCGATATCTTCGTGTTAACTGATGTTAGGTTTTTGGCTTTACTTCTCTTTCGACTTACTTTCAGTTAGTTTGAACCTGCTTTGGCACGTGAAATTTTAAGTGAAAGCCAAAAATTAAATTTTCTTTCAGTTTCAACTGCCGTTTGCTGCATTACTGTTAGAATATTTCATCATTCTGCAACTTAATAATTATGCGCTAAATCTCAGAGATATTTACTAATATGTGGATATGATAATCATTCACATTAGTTATTATCTTTCATACTTCGTTAGCTGACTGATGGAAATTAAGAACAACTTATTTGCAAACGATTTGTTTGGTCTTGGCCCACGTCCACCAGTCTGTGATGCATAAAACTTATAAATATTCAAAATTAGGCACATATAATATGATGGATCTGATTTTTGGATTCGCGACATATCTGAGTGGGATTCTGCTAGATGTTAAACGTTAAATGTAAAGTAGATGACTGTTCTTTTCATGAAACGTCCTCAACCTGTTCTTTGTTCAGTGGCAAGCTAGGTTGTAGTGTAAGCTATTGTAGTGCATTTTGGTGTTACGTTTGCAACTCTGAATTCAGCGATAAACTGTTCAGCATGGTTTTTCACCGAGAACATTTCTATTATTTTGCGTCAGATTCATACACCCAGAAAATAGGTACACACAATGGAAACAAAGCCAGTTGCAAATAATTCATCTCGACAATGGGGTAAGATTATGTATATCATCACGTGATAATGTATCAAAACTGTTGTCATTTTCGTCTCGGTCTTGGTCAGAATAACAGTTATTATATTGGTGATGTGGATAGTTATGATGATCGATAGAATTGCGGTCGTAATATTTATTGTTGGTAATGATGAATGTTTGTTGGCGGGATGATCAGGACGGTTATGATGATCGTCAGCGTCTTCAACACAAAAATTTTCATTATCTGTAATCGTTGTTGTCACGACTATGGTAATTAATGATTGTGATGTAAGAGTCATTTTCATGATTGTCATCATCGGGATCGAAATAATAATAACTACCGTTATTTTTGCCATAATCGTATTTATCCTTTTGAGTAACATAATCATTATCGTAATCGAGGAGGCATAATGATTGGTTTCGTGGTGATGACGATTATTATGATAATCGTCACCATTTTAATCATGAAGGTGCTGCTGGTAACGCCTTTGATTACGATGGTTATGGTAATTGATATGCTATCATATTGGCGATGGTAGTGATTACGATCATGATGAGAAATGGCATACATGGTTTATTAATACACAACGCAAAAAATAATAAGGTTGATCAAATTAATTTTCAGTGACGACTTTTCGACTCGTTCTCAAAAGTCTTCTTCAAGGTTTTTGTCAAGGGAGGTTGACAAAGTTTCTGAGGTATTTCTTGTCGTTCGCAGCGGTTGGTAGGTTTGGGGCCAGAAAGTTTCTGTGTGGTGCTTTTTTGCTGTTTTCGGTATCATGAAATACTCGGTATAACTGTAGATATTGCGTTTCAATTGAGGTACTTTTGGTTGATTGATGTTTTCGAAGCGGAGATGATGCATTAGAAACTCGTTCAAAAGAAGGGTGTTACAAATGGAAGTATGATTTAAGCCGACAGTTGGTCTGACGGTTGGAGACAACCCTATTTGTCTTTTCAGATCTTTTGTAAAACTATTCAAAGACAAGTGGTTGCTGATGCAAAACAAGGATTTTATATTTTATTTCGACGTTTCGGCATTTATTAATACCGGAAAAGAAGATGTTTATTTTTGCTTTCAGCCTTCATGACGAAGGTATGACATCATACCGGGCTTAATTTTTAATATATATGCCTATGGATCGAGGTATTTATTATATCTTTGCTCTTTGAACTTGTTTTTTGTTCGATCGAACACAGTGGTACTGTTTAGCGTCCACATCCTTCAGGTGCTGACATACCGTGGAGCCGTTGCCTGCTTAAACGGTGCCTAGACAATTTTGAACAGCGGGACGATGATACTGTGCCATGTGAATCTAGAAAAGTAACAGGAGATTTATTTCTATTACTCATATGCATTATAGCGCGGAATGTAAAATGAAGTTGGTCATTCTTAAAATGAATTCTACATGGTCATTTGTCGTTTAGCCAAGAAACTAATGTAACGAACTTTGTTAGCGCAGCTTTCCCGTATAATTGAAGCCACCCTCCCTATAGAACAAGCTGGCATTCGATTTCCGTGCGGTTTTGTGAGCAACTGCTTTCGTTTACCGGCTTAAGCAAAACAGGATTTCAGTGGAAGCAAAAACGTGGTTTTGATCGACGTGTCATCGACTTATGATGTGGCTTGATGCGATGGTCTTATGTACAAAGTTTCTAAAATATTCAAGTATCAAAAGATCTTTTCAAGCCATGATTAACTACCGTCATTACGGGGTCCATACCGTCATGGCGGGTCAGCAAGAAAATGACCCATAAAAATTGGTTCCCACCAGGTGCAGTACTTTACATCGTAAAGTAATTACATCGTTATTTAACACATGTACCAAGAATCTTCCACCGATCTGTACAAGCTGTTGCATAATCAAGGTTTACTTGCATGCTGATATTTTCACCACTGAAAGATACAACTGAATCCAACGAAGATTGGCGTGACGGTCTTCCATATGGACAACCGACCTACTACGATGAAGCTCATCGTTAAGTTCTGTGGTCAACGCTGGCTGCACAAAATGACGTCGAAATATCTAGGCGTCACTCTTGATCTGGCCGTCACGTTTAAACCACAGTGGACAAGTGCGGTATGAGATGAAGCCTAATAAATTTTTTGGAAAAACTTTCCAGCTCATCTGGTGGTACAGGAGCTACAGTTCTGCATGCCACGGTCCTCCCGGCGCTTGTGTACTACTATGTCACGGAGTACTATTCCCCTGTTTGGAATTACAGCTGCCACAGGAAGAAAGTAGACATACTGCTCAATGAAGAGATTAGAATCGTAAGAGGAACCCTGAAGCCAAGCCAAGCGCAGTAGTTACCTATTCTGCTGCATACTGAATCTGCTTAGATCCGTAGGGGCCAGCAGTCATCTCGTGTTTTCCAAACTCTCGATACAAATCGCCAGTTTTTCATCCATCCTTCCTGTTCTCCAACAGCCGTGGGCAACAACGCCTGAAATCACGCCACCCACCATGGGGACGAGCGACGACGTCACGACTGAATCGTGAGAAACAGTAATCAGCAGAGTGGCATTTTACAACCGTCCGTGACAAGAACTTTATCTTCAGCTTGACCACAGTACTGCTTGCATGGACTTGGCTTGTTAAGGATATTCGAGATTAAACTCGATTCAGACAGAACAACGGAGCTGCGGACACCTCCTTTACCGTTGGAAGACGAATTTTAGCCGGCATGTGATTGAAGCTATGAAGATCATATCATGCAGCACATTATTTTTGAATGCCCGCTGTGAAGGTCTGGCGGCGGCATAACTGATGTCGAGAATACTTCCTCGGATGCCTTTCATTGACTTAGAAATCTGGACATTCAGTTATGGAGTTGCTTTCACCAGCTCCAGCCATTTCACAGGAGAAGAGTTGTCATTTGCGCTTTGTCTTTCATCCACGTGACCCGCTGTCATTTTCTGAGTATCATGTTGATGTTTGACTTAAAGTATATCTATAAATATATCAGTGACTTAACGCACTTCACTTCTGTTCCCGTGATCTACCTGACAAGTGATCAGCAGTAATCACTCAAGGTTGAGAGGGTTCGCGAGCTAGAGCTGAATTTTGGTTCCGCTGGTCAGCACAACATAGGTGCCATTTCTCTGAATTCTGATTTATTCTGACATACCAATATAAATGCGTTAAAACTGTACGCGTCGACGTATTTCATGATTATAGTGAGAAAATAGTATTCGCGTAGTAGAACTACTGCAGCCGTCATAATGATGAATCAAGAAAACTGTCGATTAGTTGGTAATTAACTAAGAATCCAGATATCCGTTGAATCGATATGGCCGCAATGTTCTGTTTTAAATTAATGAATCTGATCATGCCAACCATCTGTCAAGCTGACTAAATTAACTTTTATATTCCTTTGGACATGCCTATGAAATGATATGACGCCGCGGTAATTCCACGTGAGAGGAATCTCTGTTTACGTGAGAACATCTTCGTGCAGAGCTTAGAAACTGGTACAAAATGAGATTATTGTATCATTAATAGTAAATAATTTAAATAAAGGTAAGAAGCGCATTTGTCTAATGCTGTCAGTGATAAGGTACACGAAAGAGTTGTTATGGAAGTTCAGTACAGCGTTGATGGTGATGACTGGCGTGAATCCGACGCTATCTGTTTGAAGCAACGAAGAAAATTTCTAGATTTCAAGAGAGCAGGTTGCTACGCAATGCGGTTTGGTAAAGCCGATGCAGATGTTTCATTCCCTGGACCATGCTTCATGATCCTTATTTTAACTTATCCTGTTGTGGATTTCGTTGCAGTCGTTGAGAAGTACTATTTGCGTAGTGTTTTAACCAAAACGGTATCGTTGTTTACAACACCTGTGTGATAGGCAGTTTACCTCTGCTGTTTTTTAAGACGACGATTACAAAATAACAACAACAAGACGGTTTCAAAGAAGAAATTGCCTCTATTTTTTCCTCCTAGCCATTAATCATGAAAGTATTCGGTTTTTTAGCAGAGAGTTAATGATCTTTCCTGCTCAAGGCAACAATTGGAAGGTACTGTATAAAATCTGCTTTGCCGACCCGTTTTGACGCAGCATGAGCGTCATCATACAAAAATGGTAGCATGCAAATAAAACACTGTGTTATGAAAAACAGTATGTTGCATTTGAGTAATAGCGTTTATCTTTTGTTCCATTAACTTTTCTAGACAAATTGGCCGATGGCATTCTAGCTGACACTAAAGCTCAGCGACTTGGTGCGTGCGTCACAAAATCTGCTTCTGCTAATCCATATGTGCAACGATTTTTTAATTAATAACCTGATATTGGTTCTCTCATTTTTAATCGAAGTGACTAAAGAAGCATCCCCAGTAGATTGCATAGCAAACAGTGCTAGAATGCTCCGCGTTTTAATCCTCTGAAAAGTAGGTTCCTGGAAACTTTTTATCCGGCCTTTGTAGGTTTTCTTCTACGTTTATGTTTCGTACTTTTCGGTTCGTGAATTTTCCTCTACACCTACGATGGGAAAGAATCGATTCGATTTTGTGATGGATTTGAAAAGTTTCACCTCTAATTGCTGTTTGGTTTTTTTGAGTGTTCGGGGCGTCTGTGCTGGGTTTTACTTTCATTGTTAGAATTATTTTTAAGAATGACAAAACGGACTCTTAATGATTTCCTTGCTGTATCCGTTTATAAGCAAAATATTTTCTACAAGGTTCAAATTCTGCTTTATTAGTAGTATTTGTGGTAATATGCTTGGTAAGAACAGATAAAAGAACAGTAACTTAAATCTGTTGTTTACAGTGGTTTTAATTAAAAGTAGCGTTGGCTGACTGACTGACTGACTGACTGCCTGACTGACTGACTGACTGACTGACTA